CCAGATCTATATGGCAGGGCTCTAGCTCACAAAATAAAAAACAACAGTAATACACTAATACAAATAAATATATAAATGAATAATGAATAAAACAATATTCTTAGAAATAAATAAAAAATTTTGGATTTATTTTTTATTTTAAGTGTATGAGTGCTTTGCCTGCATGTATGCAAGTGCACCTGTGTCATGCAATGCCAGAGAAGGTCAGAAGAGGGTGTTGGATTTCCTGGAACTGGAGTTACAGATGGTTGTTAATTGCATGTGGATGCTGGGAATCAAACCCTCTACAAGAGCAGCCAGTGCTTTTAACCATTGAGCCATCTCTCCAGCCCCATTCACTTTCTTTAGAATGGGTTGTTACCCATTCTCAAAAAGAATTAACTCATCCCATGAGTCTAATCCTTTTGAAGAGTGATGTCCCAAAGGCTCGATTACCTAATTATTCAACCCTGCCTCTGAAGGGCTCCACACCTTAGTACTTCCACAGTGGAGACTAAGTGACCAACACATGAATCCCTAGGGAACACTCCTACGATATCCAGACTGTAACCACTCCCAACTTCTAGAAGCTGCATCAGGGAACTGGATCCACCAGAAAAGAACACATCCTTGCCAACATCATGTGGGACCCAGTCTACAGAAGTCTAAAATAATAAATTTATGTTCTTTTAAGTCACTAAGTATGAGGTAATTTGTTGCAGGAGCAACAAGAAACTAATACAATCATCAGCTGTTCAAAAAGGGTGCTAAGAAAATTTAACAGGAAAAGGATTGTATTTTCAATAAGTGCTGTTGGACAACTGAATATTCACATGGAAGAGGATGAAGTTGAATCTCTTGCCATATGCAAAAATTGGCTCAAAATGATTGTAGATTGTTAAAGAAGAAATTATTCAATGATGCTTGTTAGAGCACAGTGAGGGAAACTTGGATCAGAAGCACTGTTATAGGTACAGCACCACTACAAGGTCTTACAGTGGAGAGAGGAAATGGGGCTCAATTCCTAATGTGGTAAGAGGAGACTGATAGCCAAGAATGGTGTGGGGAGAGTAAAGGGAAAATCACTAACAGGGAACATCATGAATAAAGGGATCTGACTAAACCAACTTAACAAGATTCTTCTGAAAAGGCAGAAGTATGGCTACCAGTTTGGGGCCAACCTGGCCTACATATTGAGCTCCAGGCCAGCCAGGGCTACATAATGAGATCCTGTCTAAAAAAGAAAAAGAAAGATTCTTAGAGCCAGTGATATGGCTCAGTGGGTTAAGGCACTTGCTGCTAAGCCCAAAGACCTGAGTTTGATTCCTGGGACACCCCCCTGCCCCGCCACACACACACACACACACACACACACACACACACACACAAATAAATGTGTAATTTATTTTTTAAATTTTATTTATTTTTATTTTATGTGTATGCATATATTGCCTGCACATAGGTAAGTGCACCCATGTCGTGCAATGCTCGTGGATGTCAGAAGTAGCTGCTGGATCCCCTGGGACTGGAGTTACCAACAGTTGTTAGCTGCCTTGTGGGTGCTGGGATTCGAACCTGGGTCTTCTGCAAGAACAACCTGTGTTCTTAACTGCTGAGCCATCTCTCCAGCCCCACGTATAATTTATAAATGAATGTGTAATTTAAAAAAGAAGTTCTTGCTAAAGATAGGCCAGAGGAAGCAGACATCACCTGAGGCATGGTGGAGGGTGAGGAACCTGATGAGATATTAAGGGTGAGCAGATCTCTAGGGGGTTTGTGGTTTAAGCACAATTTTTAAATTCTTGCAAAACTGAATTTTACAAAGAAGTGAAAGGAGGGCCTAGCAGAAGATTCAGAAGCCTGACTAAAGTCTGACTAGTCAAAGAATCTTAGGGAAGACCTAAATGCCAGAGTTAAAACCATAAAAATCTTAGGAGAAAAACAGAGCAAAAGCTTGTGACCTTAAGATAAACCTTAGGTTTCTTAGATAAGACATAAAAAACAAGCAAGGAAAGACAAAATAAATATCTTAGACTATCAAATTTTAAAACTTTTTGTGCATCTAAAGAGATCATTAACAGCTAGGAGGGGGCTGGAGAGATGGCTCAGCGATTAAGAGCATTGGCTGCTCTTGCAGATGACCTGGGTTCAACTCCCAGCACCCACATAGACAGTTGTTAGGCAGCTAACAACTGTCTATAACTCCAGTTCCAGGGAAATCCGACTTCTTCTTCTGACCTCCGTGGTCATTGTACAACATGGGTGCACTTACATACATTCAGGCAATACACTCATACACATAAAATAAAAATAATAATTTTTTTAAAAGAGCCAGCAAGATAACTCATTCAGTAAAGGCACTTGCCTTCAAGTCTGAATTCAACCCCCAGAACCCACACAGTGGAAGAAGAGAACCAGTTCCCACAAGTTGCCCTCTGACCTCCACACATGCATTGGCACAAAAAATAAAATGTACACACAAAAAATAAAAATGTGAATTTTTTTTTGTCTTTTTGAGACAGGGTCTCCCTGTAGCCCCAGCTGTCCTGGAACTCACTATGTAGACCAGTCTGGCCTTGAACTCACAGAGATCGGCCTGTCTCTGCCTCCGAGTGCTGGGATTAAAGGCGCGCACCACCACACCCGGCAAAATGTGAAATATTTTTAAAGAGACCATTCAGAAAGGAAAACAATAACCCACAGAATCAGAGAAAGTATTTGTTAATCATATATCTGTTAAGGGACTTCTATCTAGAACATAGGAGAACTCTTACAAAAAAAAAAACCAAAACACCCTGAATTTAATAATGGACTAAAGATTTGAATATGAAAAGCACATGAAAAGATGATATAAAATTGGCTGGGGTGATAGTTCAATTGATATAGTGCCTGCTTTGCAAGCACGAGAGCCTGAGTTGGATTCCTAGAGCCCAGCACTGGGAAGGCAGAGATCCCTGGAACTCATTAGGCAGGCAGTGTAGTGGAAATGAAATGGCACACTCCAGATTCAGCAAGAGACGCCTGTCTCAAAAACATAAGGTGAAGTGACTCAGAAAGACATCTGACATCAACCTCTGGCCTCTACACACATGCATACACACATGTATCAACACATAAACATACAAAAAAGTGTTATGAAAATAGCTACTGGGCTAGAGAGATGCCTCAGTGGTTAAGGATCAGTTCCCAGCATGCACATGGGGCAGTTCACAAACTGCCTGATACTTTAGCTCCAGGGAATCCAATACCCTCTTCTGGCCTTTGCAAGTACCCACACATGCAGCATACACTCACACACACATAAACACACATAAATAAAAAATTTAAATCTTTAAAAAAAATAAAATAGCTATTAAAACATATAATAAATATACCCCCAAGGAAGAAAACAGTGTAGTATACAGTAACTTCCTCAGAAAGCAAAGAAAAGTAGGAAGTTGGAGAGTTCAGGCCACTAGGAAGTGATGAGATCCATAAAATATCTAAGCAGTGGAGCCAGAGCTAGGCTTGTGGGTAAAATGACTGCACCAAACAATTCTGCCTACTTAACAGTTTTGTCAAAACACTTTTTGCATTAGAGAAAGGTCCAGAACTTTGTGGGGGAGGGCAGGGTGGAATCTATGATGTCATCTTCAGACCTCTGTGACATAGGCACTTGATGCCAGGGGGAGCTGCTCCCAGGCAATGAACCCCTCAGCTCCCACTGCGGGCAGCAACGCCACCCCTTAGGACAAGCCTCAGTCTCCCAGAGCCTTTTACCAAGTGGCCCCACTGTTGCTGCTGCTAGGCGTGATAAGCCATCTCAGCCAGGGCCAGGCTGAGCTACAAGGACACCAGCATTAAGAGTGACAGCCAGGGAAACCAGAATGCCAGGAAACCAGGATACTTACAGAATCTCTGTGTCAAGATTGGGGTAAAATCCTGTGACACAGAATACCTCTGCCTGACCGAAGGACTGAGGGCACCGCACTGACTGGAATTCTGGGTCAGAGGCGGTTAGGGGGACAGACATCAGGGATAGAGGGAAATAGATATACCATTTTGTGACTTTGCTCCTTTCTTTCCCAGGTCTCCTGTTTGCTGAAGTGTGAAACACAGCTGGAGGAATTCCGTTGGTAAGACCTCTCAGTACCAGAGTACTCTCTGTTCCTTTCCCATCTCAGTCCCACTCTCCCAAGCCACCTCCTCCAACTCTGTCCTTGCCTCCCTCTAGCCCTATTCTGCTCCTCTTCTTACCTTCTCTGGAGCATTCTGTCAGCTTTTCTGACACCAAAAGTGACAAGCATCTAGGGTCTTTTGTTGTTGTTTTGAGACAGTTTCATGTAGCCCAAGCTGGCCTTGAGCACCTTATTCTCCTGCTGGCATTATATAGGCATATGCCACCATGGTATGCTTGTGTGATGCTGGGAACAAACCCAAGATTTCATACAGGTTAGGAAAGCACTGTACCAGCTGAACTACACCCCCCCCCAGGCCTCACACCTAGCATCTTGGTAAGTTCAGCCTGGAACTCAGAGTCCAGATGTGGACCAATTCTCCTAACTTAGGTTCTCTCTCTCTCTCTCTCTCTCTCTCTCTCTCTCTCTCTCTCTCTCTCTCTCCACTTTACACACTGTCTCTGCCCCCCCTCTCTCTCTCTCTCTCTCTCTCTCTCTCTCTCTCTCTCTCTCTCCAGGTTCTACAGGCTGTCTTCCAGCCCCACCCAAATAGTTGCAGCTTTCCCTCAACTCCCAAGAAGCAGCTCTGATTCCCCGGCTCCATATATCTCCTCCGAATGGCTGGGAAAAGGTGAAGAGCCAAGCTTGGGGCCTGAGCACCCCAAAGCCAGTAGAAGAGACTGGGTGTCCCCTTGGCCTGCCGGCTAATGCCTGTAGCAGCAAAACCAGGCTGGATCCACACTACATATAGAAGGCAGTCTTGATTCTCAGCCACAGCTGACCACAGAGATCCTGATACTGACTGTCAGGTCTCTAATCCCCTGGTCTCCTAAGCCCACACAGATCCCTCCTGGATTCAAGGCAATGTTGCCTCAAAAGAAGGACCAGGTGCTGTTACAGAACACAGTGCGCCCAAGGTCCTCCCCTCAGGTTCTCTCTCAATTTGTGGACTCCCCTCCATCCAACTTAGCACGTTTCTCTCCCCATCAGTCCCTCTCTCCTCCCTACGTTTCTTTGCCCTCTTCCACACAGCCCTATTTCTCCTTCCCTCCACCTCCACAGTCCCACTCTCCTGGGCCCAATTTCTGCACTTCTGACTCAAATTCTGACTTTGTTCCACTCCCCTACTCTTCCTCTCTCTCAGGTCCCCCTACTTGCTTTCGCCAAAACCAGCCTTGTCTCTCCCTTCCACATGCTTCCTCTTCCGACAACTACTGTCTGTGCCTCTCTCCTTCTCCTCTTCTTGCCCACGCCTCTCTTTCCCAGCCACAGAATTCCTCTCCTTCCCATTGGGAGGACCTTCGTAGCGCCACACTTACTTCCCGCAGCCCCAGCCTACCTTTGGAAGGATTCCGCACTAACAGACAGACATGGCAGTGGCCTCAATACAGACACACCAGGTCTACTGGGGTGGCAGAGGGATGCGTGGCAAGCAACGCGGACCCTGCAGAGTTCAAGGACCCAGGAGCCCTCGCCCAAGCCCTAGTAGGCCGTGTGGGGCATCGTCGAATTGCACGAGACCTGCAGCTACTGTTTCTGCAGCGCCTGTGGCTAGGCAGACCCGGTCAGGCTCCAGCCGTGGAGTATCCTGTATGCCTAGTGTGCCTCCAGCCCCGCACCCCCTCTTGCCCCACTCTCAAGTACAGGACTGGACCCCAGCTGCTTGCCTTCCCTCAACTACTGCCCTGTGCACAGGGCCAGGAATCTGGGCCCCTCCGCATAGGCATTGGCTTCGGCCTCCGCCTGCCTCGAGGCCAAGCCAAGGCCTTGCATCTGCTGACAGAAAAACGGCTGGAGGAAGTAGGGCTTCAGGGAGAGGCCTCACAGGCCCTCGGGAATCAAACACAGGCATCCCAGGCACCAGCAGCTCAAATCCAAGGCACATCCTCCCAGGCCGGGAGCCTCGGGTCTGCAGACCTTCAATCACCAAAATCCATGCAACGTTCCAGGCTTCCACCTCAGGCACCAAGGCAGACCACTGCCTCCCCAAAGGCCAGGCCTTCGTCTGCTGCAAAGAGGCCTGTGTCTCCAGAATTTATTCTCCGAAAGTCACCTTCTTAATTCCAGACCCAAGAAGACCCCCTGGAACACCTCCTCCAAACCTCACCCTCCGTACCAGGTCTTCTCAAACCTCAGGGAGTCCCAGAGACATCTTGAAGGTCTGGCTGGCTGGAAGGCAGGTGTGTTCTCCTGCCCTGAACCCTGGGAACCCCTTGTGGAGTCTACACTCTCCGGGCTGAAGAGGATCAAAGGCACCCCAGGCCCCATTCAGTCTTCAGTGTATCCAATAAAGCCTGTCCCTGAGAAACTGATGTCTGTGTCCTACTGAGCCCACAGGATGGATAGGTGGCTGTAGCTACAGCGATGCAGCTCCTAACAAGGCTGGGGGGGGTACCAGGGAGAGCAAGTGCCATGTATCCCAGGACCTGAGATGCTCAGAGGCTTCGGTATAGCCCTTCTCGTGTTTAATTCAAGTCTGTGGACAGATACCGGCATCCCCAAAGATTAAACCACTGGCCTCGGGACATCCTGGGTTAACGAGGCTGAAGCAGTCCATTTTCCACACACGGAACCAAAGGACAGTGCTAGTGCTCATTCGGAGAGGAACACAGAAATCACACGCACAGATCAGAAACCTAAAGGTTCCCTCAGAAGGGTTGAGGTGCCAAGCACACAAGACCCGCCAGGGAGAGAGGGGTTGCCCCTGAGGCTATCAAAGGGGGGCAGCCGCCACCCACTAACCCTGAGAAAGGGGTTGGGTCAGTCGCGGAGATGGGTGTTAAGGTGAGGAGTTGTTTCCTTATATTAGGAAGCAGTGAATCTGATTTGAAGCCGGTTTTGTTTGGAAGTCCCTGCGGTGTCTGAGACCTTGGACAAATCACTTCCTCTCTGGAATAACATATAAAGGCTGCACTTATATGAGCTCGCGGCATCACTCCTCAAGTGGGGACGGTCCCAATTAGAAGACTTCTTTATTCAAGATTTATTGATCTTCAGGAACCTCTTCCAGCCCCATCTCCCACGCCCGGCACAAAGATGGCAGGCAGATCGGCAGTCGTAAGGGGCGGGGAACCGGATCCCGGCACCTGGGTTCCGCGGCCCCGCGTCCGGCTAGTGCTGACGCGGATGGGCGCACTGCGCTTGCGTGGAGAGAGCGGCCAACCGCGGCGCGTGCGCACTGCGCGCCTGCGAGAACGGGTCTGCAGGTTCCCAGCCGAGATCTGGATACCTGCGGCGGTTAGAGCTGCAACACGCCGGCGGGTGTGAAAGGGGTCAGAAGTCTTTCCGGCGGCGACCGGGCCTAGTTCAACGGCGGCCGAGGCAACAGTCGGAAGCCTGGCGCGGCATGTCGTGGGTTCCGCGGGGCTGGCAGTGAACGTGTGGCGGGCGGGATGGGCCGGCGCCGGGGTGTGGAGCTGTACCGGGCCCCGTTCCCGCTGTACGCGCTTCAAGTAGATCCCAGCTCCGGGCTGCTCATCGCTGCGGGCGGAGGAGGTGCCGCCAAGACAGGCATAAAGAATGGCGTGGTGAGAACACAGGACCCCTGGGACCGGGTCACACGGCTGCCGAGGGCAATTCCGGGGTGGCCTGGGGCGGGGTTCGCTGGGGGTGGACCGTACCCCACCTTCGGGCCTTGCTTATTTCTAATGGGAGAACTCCGCCTGCCAGGCGCCTGGGATCGGGTTTCACCTTCGCAGCGGGTAGTTAAGAGACTCTTGATGCCCATCTGTGCAGGACCACCTAGGCTGGACCACGGGGGCAGCTCCAGGGATCTTATCCTGGCCTTTTCCGGGAAAGCATTTGTCTAGTCTGCCCTCGAGTGGTACTTTGAGCCCTGGGCTAGATTCCTACCTTTCTGTAAACTGGACCTAATAGTCTCAGTGCTGCTTGCTGTAGATTGGGGACCTCGTGTAAGAAGAACAAAACTCCAGAAAGCCCTGAGAGCTAGCAGGTGCAGAAAGTGAAGGAGTGGGGCATCCAGTTAGGACTTGACAAGCCTTCTGGGCACCCCTGAACTTTGACCATTTTGGTTGCCTCTCCCACAGCACTTTCTGCAGCTAGAGCAAATTAATGGGTGCCTGAGTGCCTCCTTGCTGCACTCCCATGACACAGAGACACGGGCCACCATGAACTTGGCACTGGCTGGTGACATCCTTGCTGCAGGACAGGATGCCCACTGTCAGCTTCTGCGATTCCAAGTCCAGCAACAGAAGGGTGGCAAGGCAGAGAAGGCAGGTGAGGAGCTTTGGGAAAGATCACTTTCATCTTGGTCTCTAAAGAGGAGGGATTGGAAATGGGGTCACTGTAGCATTTGGATACTCTCTGTATTCTTGTCATGTAGAGAAGGACCAGTGCTGGTTAATGGAGAGGTCTGGATTCAGCTGAGTGTGGTGGTACACACCTGTAATCCCAGCACTCAAGAGGTGGAGGCAAGGGGATATTCAAGGCTAGCCTGGGATACATAGCAAGACCCTGTCTGAGAAAACAACAAAGAAGCCTGGATCCAGGCAAGTTGTTTGTGTTGCAGGTTCCAAGGAGCAGGGACCTCGACAAAGAAAGGGGGCAGCTCCTGCAGAGAAGAAATCAGAAGTTCAGCCAGAAGGGGTTGAACTCAAGGTAAAGAATTTGGAGGCAGTACAGACAGACTTCAGCACTGAACCACTGCAGAAAGTTGTGTGTTTCAACCATGATAATACCCTGCTTGCCACTGGAGGGACCGATGGCCATGTTCGTTTCTGGAAGGTAAGGTTTTAGGGGCTTAAGAAAGATGAATGTCAGTTGCAACAAGACCAAAATTGTGAGAATCTGAATATGAATTCTGGAAAACTTGTGAATAACCCTTAGGACAAGAGGTGTGGGGATTATACCATTGTGCCTAACCATGGTGCTGGCTTGGCTGTAGGTACCCAGCCTGGAGAAAGTTCTGGAGTTCAAAGCCCATGAAGGGGAGATTGAAGATTTGGCTTTGGGCCCTGATGGCAAGGTGAGGTGGGGGTGTGAGAAGTAGAGAAAGAAAAGAGGCTGAGCTTGCTCAGTATGTGGATGTCCTAACTGTCCATCTTTGGAATCTTTGTTCTTGCCCAGTTGGTAACTGTGGGCTGGGACTTTAAAGCCTCCGTGTGGCAGAAGGATCAACTAGTGGCACAGCTTCAGTGGCAAGAAAATGGACCCACCTTTTCTAACACGCCTTACCGCTACCAGGCCTGCAGGTGTGGAAATCCCAGAGGATAGCTAAAAGAGGCATACCCAAACTGCTGTGGTGGGGTGGGAAGAGACTGGGAGGAGGGGGCGGGGCAAGGGATGATGACTGCAGCCTTGTTGGGTGTTATTCCATGCCTGACCAGCGTACAAAGAGAATAAACTTGAGAGCTGGACAGGCCCTAGGAGCTAAACAGCCCCTTACCTGGCCCTCAGGTTTGGGCAGGTTCCAGACCAGCCTGGTGGGTTGCGACTCTTCACAGTGCAGATCCCCCACAAGCGCCTGCGTCAGCCCCCACCCTGCTACCTCACAGCCTGGGACAGTTCTACTTTCTTGCCCCTGCGGACCAGATCCTGTGGCCATGAAGTCATCTCCTGCCTCAGTGTCAGGTGTGAGATGAAGCTGCCTCGGCAGGTAGAGGGTACCTGGGGGAAACTGGGAAGGGATCCTGCCTATAGTTCTGAGGACCACTATTGATGAGTGAAGCTTCTGTATAGGCCTCCAGAACAATGAGTTCTTTGTTGTATGTTGCAGTGAATCGGGTACCTTCCTAGGCCTGGGCACGGTCACTGGCTCTGTCGCCATCTACATAGCTTTCTCTTTCCAGGTAATGGGTAGAGGTTGGCATAGCCCTGTGGGAGGGCTACAGGCCTGCTCTACCCTGAGTGTACAGGAAGGAGTTTAACCCAGTTTATAGAGGAAGCCTGCTAAGGCTGGGGAGCATGTTTCCCAAAAGGGCGGCTCCAACTGGGCTTTCCTTCACTAGTTTTCTCCTTCCCCAGCGCCTCTATTATGTGAGGGAGGCCCATGGCATTGTGGTGACAGATGTGACCTTTCTACCTGAGAAGGGTCGTGGTCCAGAGCTTCTTGGGCCCCATGAAACTGCCCTCCTTTCAGTGGCTGTGGACAGTCGTTGCCAGCTGCACCTGCTGCCCTCACGGCGTAAGTCATTGGGATAGGGAGGCATTGCCACACCCTTAGCTGTGGCAAAAATTGGCCCCTGAAGGAATAAACTGTTTTTATCCATCCATCTACCTCTCCTTGAATGAAAGAGGTTGAGAGTTCTGGTCTTCAGACTTTGAGGTCCCCTTTGATCTCTCACTTCTTCCCTTGTCCACCCTCAGGGAGCGTTCCTGTGTGGCTGCTGCTCCTGCTATGTGTTGGGCTTATTGTTGTGACCATCCTGCTGCTCCAGAGTGCCTTTCCGGGTTTTCTTTAGCTTCCTTGACCAATGGGAATTGGGCCTGGAGACTGCCACTTTCCAGAGCACAGTTCATTGTGGTCCACAGCTGAGGCTGCTTCCAATCAAACAGATGGGCACTGGTTGATCCTTCTCAGTTAGTTAACTTGGCTCTATGTGACTCTGGGTCCTAGGAGCCCTGCATTCATCACCTGTAGATCCACCCAGAACAATGGTGTCTGAAGCCCAGGCCACACTACCTGCTTCCTTCCCTCCATCTCCCAGAGTTGAGCCCCTTGTCCTCCAGGAACATGTGAAGATGTCCAAGAGCCTGGAGGCACTGCCATCCTCACGGAAACTTAGTTTCTCTTCCTCCCTCAATGCCTTCACATGAGGCCCCTGACTTCTGCTGGGACAAAGATTGGCCTGGCACTTGCTGTTAGGGCAGGAAGAGGCAAAAAGAAGACTCGGGTAGTAGTATCTGTGGGCTCAGGTGGGTAGCAGTAAGCCAACCTGGCCAAATACACAGCTCCTGGATGGTCTACTCCAGCCTGAGGAAAGGGAAAACAAAACCTCAGCCCATTAGGAAGGAAGAGCTGGTATTTAATAAAGATTGAACTGAGACGGCCAGAGTCTTGTCAGCTCTTTCCATCTTCAGAAGGGATGAGTGGTCTGGGGTCAGGCAGCTCTGCCAGGTGCTGGAAAATGGCTCGAGCATACTGATGTAGAACACGGTTCATGTAGCAGTGTTGCCAGGGCAGCAGCCCTTCCAGGAAGCCAATGTGGCCACCCCGAGCTGTGATGAGCAGTGCAACATAGGGAGAGTGCTGGGCAGCCTGTAGAGGGAAGGCTGGGAGGGAGTCAGAGAGGTCAGAACCTAGCCTTTAACGAGAACCCAGGCTCAAGCCTCAGGTACAACTCACAGTTCACCTCAGGGTCCAGTGGCCCCAGGGCCACGGCTTCTAGGCCACTCACCATGGAATGGGGAGAAGGGATCATCTGCTGCATTAAGGCAGAGCACAGGGGTCTGGATAGCAACTACCTTGGTTCTTGGGCTCGAGGCTTGGTAATAGGCAGCACAATCTTTATACCCAAAGGCCACAGATGTGTAGCGCTCATCAAGTTGGCGGATTGTGTGGGCCTGTGTGGCGGAGGTACAATAGGTGATGATAATAGGAAACGGGAAGATAAAAAGAGGCTAATACTGGGGTAGGGGCCAATGGTTGAAAGATTATACCTTTACTGCAAAATCTACATCCAACACCTTTTCAATCGTCTTTCTGTTTCTGGAAAAGAGTACACCAGGGTTTGCCTGGACTCTGCACCTGACTCAGAGCCCACAGCCCCTGTTTTATCTCATGAGAAAGCCCAGATTAGAACTGACCCAAGCACTGGGAGAGCCTGGCATGTCTGCCATCCTACCTGGCCACAAGCCGGCAGAGTCCAGCAGTGAGGGGCCTGTTGAAGAGCAGTAAGTTGAGGGGTGTCTCCAAAGAGTCAACAGTCTCAAAGGAATCCCAGCATGCAGACATAGTCAGTCCTGCCACCAATCCCCCAGCCTTCCCAGTCTGTGCCAGGTAGTTCAATACCAGTATCCTATAGGATTGGATGAAGGGCCATGGAAAGTACATGAGGGAACTGGGGCAAAAGAGTAGGAAAAGACATAGAAAAGGGAAGATTGGGTCCCTGGATTAAGTCCAGGCAACCATTACCCTCCAAAAGAGATGCCCACAGCCAGAAGTGGAGCTTGGGAGTAGTGGTGCTTTATGTGCTTCACAACCGTCTCTAGATCTTCAGTGTTGCTGGCACAGTAAGCCCTGTGGGTCTGAGGGGTCACTGGATAGAGAAGAAGGCTCAAAGGGAACAAAATGGAAGGGCTCAGGAGATAGTGAGGATGGATTGGGGGGTGTTATGTAGGTAGAGCCCCAGGGCCAGTGATCTCTGCAGGTCAGGGGCACCACAAGGAAGGAGGACACTCACCAGCAGTTCTTCCCCACGGCAGCCACGGTTATTAAACACAACAGCCCTGGGGCAACACAGGTATGTGAGCCAGACCCTCCCTAGAAGACCCTCCCCTTTGGTAGTCTTCAGAAACTCCCCTGTTAAAGAGCATTGTATAAGGGTCAAATCCACTTTTCCCAAGTTCTCAGGTTCCCTCTACTTCCATCCTTACCTATAGCCATCCTTCAAAGCTTGGTCAACCAGGTGTAAGATATATGACTCCTGACTACTGCCGCTGATACCTGGAAGCAGCAATACTATGGGCTGGGTAGTAGGGTCAGGTTGGTTGCTGCTGTTAGGCTTCTCAGCCCAGTCTAGCAGGAACTGACCTCCATCTGGGGTTTGAAGGACTTCACTGGGGTTTGAGAGAGATGGACGTACAAAGAATTAAGGAATTGGATCTCAAAGGTCTAGCCCCTGGCTCACCCACAAGTCCTACAAATTGTTATGGGTATCATTTGAGGCATGCTTTATGTAAAACAGTAGGGCTGACCAGGGTGGAATAGAGAGGACTGTTGACCTTGTAAGGGTGGAAGCAGCGTGCCCTTCCATATACCCAATCTCATGCTCTCAACACACTTTGAGGCAAAGATTACCTTTATTTAAAAAGATGTGGATCAGTTTCACCTAGCTACTTGCAGCTTTATGTTCACCTGTTTCTGTCCCTTCTTACCTCCGGTAAGAGATTACAGGCCGAGACTGCAGGAGGACTCGAAAGATGGTTTGTAGCCGTCCCTCAAAACACCACAGTGTGGGGTAGAAAATCTCCACAGTGACCGGACAGTGTTGCTCCAAGAAGGCCAGAAACTGGGGCCCAGCCACCAGATGCGGCCTCTGTAATCACACAGCACAATCTTCACTCTTTTTGTCCCAGACCCTAAAGGATGAGTGACACCTTTCCTAAAATCTCACCTTAAGGACACTGCTTTGCTGGGGTGAGGTATCCAGCATAGCTCGATCTGGAATAGCCAGATCACCTCTGGGTAATAGTCACCTAGGACACAAGTCCTGAAGTGTCACCTCCAGAATTGACCCTGAACCGGGAACTGCCACAGCCAACTGGGTACTGACTCTCACTCAGCCTGTCCTTGCCTTGAACCCATATATGGAAGAATGGATAATATACTGTCCAGTTAATCCCCTGCAGGAAAGGCTATGGTTCTGATTGGTTGGTTAATTAGCAGTATTATTTTATGATGTTTTATTTTTTGGAGACAGGGTCTCCTGAACTCACTATGTAGACCAGACTGGCCTCAATCTCACAAAGATCCACCTTCCTCTGGCTCCCAAGTGCTGGGATTAAAGGAGTGTGCCACCACATCCAGCTTTATTACTATATTTTGAATCCTATGCTTCTGTGTGTGGCTATGTGCACATGGGTGCAAGTACTCATGGAAGCTAGAAGAAGGTCTTAGATCACCTGGAGCTGGAGTTACAGGCTGTTATAAGCTGCCCAGTGTGGGTGTTGGGAACCAAACTTGGGTCCTCTGAAAGAGCAGTAAGCACTCTTAACTGCTGAAATCTCTCCAACCCAGGTTGGTTGGGGTTTTGTTGTTTTGTTTTTGAAGCAGTGCAGTGTCATACTGTGGCCTTGAATTCACAATCCTCCTGCCTCAGCCTCCTCAGTGCTGGGATTACAGGCATGTTATCACCATGTTCTGCCAATTCAGATTCTTGACCAGGTGAAGAAATGTTAGCACCATTTAATCTGTGACCTTTGCCCTATAGTTGAATTACCCACACCTCATCTTCCTAAGGCTTGCTCTGAACACTCTGGCTCCTCCTGTGCCCCACTGTCTACAGTACCCCATTCTCTGCATATTCCTGTTTTTCTCTAATACATGTGCCACTGCTGAAGAGCTTCTTTCTAACACTTGTGGGGCCCCAAGTGTTAGCTATGCTCTACAAGGGCAATGGTCCTAACATGAACCAGTATTTCCTTTCTCCCTGCCAGCTAGGGAAAAGGGAACAGTGATGGTATGGTAGGGACAAATGAGGTCAGTGGGCACTAAGCCCTAACAGCTTCTCAATTTGGTTCTGCATGGACATGAAGTGAATGAGAGAGTGTAGCCACACAGACTTAGGAAGGAAGAGTATGCTGAACAGTCAATGAACTCCTGCTCAAAATAGAAATTGCAAAATAGTAGCTTGCCTAGCATGTGTGAGGCCCTGGGTTCAATCTCTAGCCCTGGGGTGGAGGGGGGGTGGGGGATAGTTGTTTAAAATCATAAATTGCATTTCTGAGGAACTTGATCAGATTCCTGGTTTATTTTACAGTCTGCTACTCAAAAAGAGCTAGGCAAATGATACTAAAGAGGCCAATTTGATAATGTAGCTCTGGAAAGATGTGACTTGGATCCTGGTCCTTAAACCTTGGAATAGCAGCAATGAAATCGCTGTGCACTAGGCAGTGACCAACCTTATGAGATAAGATATAAGTGAAGAAATTATGACTCTCTCAGGTCAATTGGTTGGCCCAAAGACCAGCAAGCAAGAGCAAAGCAGAATTAGTAATTATAATATCAATGATAACATTTGTAGGTAAAAATCTGTTGAGTCCTCATTACGTTCCAGGCATTGTGCTAAGCGCTTTATGAGATTTTTATCTTCAAGTAGTCATAACAGTCCTCTGAGACAGGTGCTATGACCTCTGTATGGACAGGTTTGAATGCCAAATTGCTTGTTAGAGGTTGCAAAGCTTGTCACAGCTAGTTTGTGGTAGAGCTGGAGATTCAAACCCAGGTCTGACGAGCTGTGCCATAGTGCATGCATTATATTGCCCTCTGATTGCCAAGAGTTTGAGTTGCCATCAGTTGACTAAACCCTTGATCAAACAGCTCGGTAGTGTAGAACAAGGGTAATAAATTACTTCACAAGTTTAATTTATACATGATAGCTTCATTTCTCTCTAGCATACTGTTCTTGACATACTCCTGATTCTTGGTGGATAAATCAGTATTAATCCATTACTATCCTGGACAGCACAAACTCCATGTCCTCTAGAATAGTACTTTTCCTGCATTTTAACAAGTAATTGGATTTCTAGAGAGGGTTTGGGATATAAAGTGCTAGGAGCTTTGATGTCTATGTGTCTGGTTTCAACTGAAGGAAAATATTAGGGGACAGGTCTGGACTGAAATGGGTGACTGTCGAGATATGATATATATGACAAGACAGAGCATTAGATTTGGGTTTGATTTTGTTTCTGGCTTTTTGAAACAGGGTCTTACTATGTAGCTCAAGCTGGCTTGGACCTCACTAAGTCACCCAGACTGGCCTCAAATTCACAGTCCTCCTCCCTCAGTCTCCCAAGTGCTGCTGGGATTATAGGCATGGGCTGCCACTTGCCTTAACACTAACAAAACAAAACAAAAAAATCTATATCCCAAAGACCTGCATTGCTGAGGATAGAACCCAGTATGTGCTAGGGAAGTGCTCTGCCACTGAGTTACATCCCCCACCCTTCTGTAAGTTTTTTGGTTTGTTTTTGAAAGAAGGTCTTAGAGTTTTGCTATGTTGCTTTGGCTTGCCTGATACTCACTATGTAGCCCAGGCTGGCCTTGAATTCACCACAGTCCTCCTACCTCAGCCTCCTGAGTTCTGATATTAAGGCGTGTGTCACCCCCACCCAGCCCTAAAGGTCTTAGGGCTGGGGAACTCAGGATATTTTGTATGCTAAGCCAAGCATGTGGTCTTCCACTAAGCAATGCCCCAATTATTGTTATTATTTTAGGATACAAGGTCTTGCTATGTTGCCCAAGAAAACTCTTGGACTCAAATGTTCTCCTGTCTCCTGTCTTCATCTACCCAGTAACCAGGGCTATAATACTCAGCTCCTATAGATCTTTTAAAGGAGTTGAATCAATAGGTTTCTTGTTAGACTCAGTTACCTAGATAGATGTTAATGAAGTTTTTTTTTTCAAAAAAAAAAAACTAGCTTTATCTGGATATGTAGATTGTGTATGTTATCTAAATTTCAGTTGAGGAAATCTCCAAATTGATCAAAACCAAGCTCTTCAGACTTTCTCAGCATACTCTACATGGAGAGTCTGGAACTTAAAACTGGGCTGAATGGGCAAGGATAGAATTATTCTTATCTAGGCAGGAACTTCAGCCAGTCCCAGAGGGAGGCAGGCTGGCTAAGCTGATGGACTGGTGCCACAACCCCGCGGGCATCCATTCCGTTTTTCCCTGCACATATTGAACATAATCTACATATTTTAGCTAGGTCACCAAAAAGAAAAGGAAAGCAGAAAATGCATAGCTCTGATACCTCAGGATACCCTCCACCACACTTTTATTCAAACGCCAGGCTACATTATAGGACCAGCAATCTTTCCGTGCCCAAATGGCCCAGTTCACGGGGTAAGAGTCAGAGAATCTAGAGAGGCAAAACAGATTCTCCGGTAGGTGATGACAGAAAAATTCACTTGGTGCGAGAGAACCAACCATCCAAGCTTTCAGAAAAGGCTCGAGCCCAGGCTGGAGGCTGCCCTACACACCCTAGTACCCTAAAACCCGCTAGCCCAAGCCCTGGGCCCGCACCCACCTGGGGCACACATGCCCAGTAGTAGCCCAAGTAGAGGGCAACGCCAAGAGCCAAAAGCAGAGAGAAGGTCTCTGTCCAGGTGCCATTCTGGGGGCTCAGTGGGGAACTCAGCATCACGGTTAGGTAGGGGGATTTCGTTTCCCAGGTTCCGGGCAGGCTCCAGCTCCTGAACTTTGACTCTTCCTCCTGCGGGTAGTTGCGGCCCGCCTCTTGCTTCATTGGCTGGCTTGCTGCAGGCCGGCCCCGCCCACCGCTAGTGCAGGGGCTGGAAGCTGAGCTAGGCTGTCTTCCGAGCGCTGGAGGATACCGGCGTTGAGCTAACCCGAGCCACCCCGCCCCTCCCCTCCCCTCCTACTGCTTCCCCTCGGGGTGAAAAGAGCTGCAGCCCAAGGACAAGCAGCGCCCCCGCAGCTGCCATCTTGGTGCATGCCATCTGCGGCCCCTTAACTCTTCCGCTGCGATGACAGAATCAGGCGGCCTAGAAAGGTTCCGCAGCCACTCCTGTGGGGGATATTCCGCTCTGTCACACAGTACCCTCACACACTGGGCACAAACACTGCGCAACTGTAACAAATTGTTACATACTCAGGTTTCTGCCTTAGTAGCAGCATTCCACACCCTAGCTTAAGTTACTACGTTGTCTCTCACAATCCCTGCCAACAGAAAGGCTGCAACAGATGGTTTGCTCATTCACTCTGTTCTGGGCAGTGGATACAGATACACCTAGGATCTTGTACCAGTTTTCATTGGGGTACTTGAACAGGGAATGTGGTAAAGCAGTGGCTTCCCGCCTGAACTGCAGACTAGAATCATCTGGGAATTGTACAGACTATAAGTGGCCAGGCACCACTCATGATACAGTTGGTCTGGGGAAGAGCCCAGATATCAAGATATGTCATGCAAAACCCCTGTAGGAGATTTGAATATGTGTCAGTGTTGAACCCCCAGGACAGAAAGTAGTACTAGGAAAAGGAAGCATTCCCTGCGCTGTGTGGAAGCTGAGAGGAAGGTACGCAAACATCAAGGGGAGAGGGCAAGAAAATGAGTAGGAGTTTCTTAGGCAAGGGGAAGGCAAGAATGGCAGCTTCAGGATAAGTGACAGTCTGCAGGGGAGGGACTTCTTAAAGGAGCCAAAAGAAAAGTGTGTCTGAGGGAATGGGTGGTCTAGGACCAGGATGGGTGAGCAGCAGCAGAATAATCAGCATTTATTCTGAGCACAGAGGAAGACCATCATCGGGCTTAAGAAGATGATAGATCAGAGATATGTTTTAGAAGAATCCTAGGCTGTTAACGGTACTCCAGGCACAGAAGACAGCTGACTGCACTGGGGCACAGCCAGGGAGAAGAGTGGGGGTCTTCAAGGTAGAAAGCAGAGCAGGGTGTGGTGGGACACACCTTTAGTCCCAGCACTTGCGAAACAGAGGCATAGATTGAGGCCAACCTGGTCTACATAGTGAGTTCCAGGTCAGCTGGGGCTACAAGGAGACCTTGTCTCAAAAAAAACCAACCAACAAACAAAAAAGGCAGAGTCAGCAGGTTTATTGGTTACTTTTCTGTTGCTGTGATAAAAGATCATGATCAAAGCAACTTATAGAAGGGAGAATTTATTTGTGCTTACAGGATTCCAGAGGGTAAGAGTCCATCAGAGGCATAGCAAGAGGCAGTGGGAACAGAAACCTGAGAGCTCACATCTTCAAGTACACACAGGAAACAGGACAAACTGGAGGTTTCTCATTCAAACCACCATAGCAGGGCTCAGCAGTAGGTTGGAAATAATGTCAGGAGAGGAATAGGAATGACCCTTAGGTTTCTGACTGCACAGACACAGGGGTATCCATCCCTGAGATGGGGAAACCAGAGGAGGGGAAGGCTTGAGGAGGAAGATGATACATTCAGATTAAGACATATTGGGCTAGAATGCTGGTAGGTGTTTAGTTTTCTTGGAGTCTGTATCTTTCTATCTGCATCTATTAATTAGAAGACTAAACTAGCCAGGTGTGGCAAACACCTGTAGTCCCAGCACTCAGGAGGCAGAGGCAGGCAGATCTCCATGAGTTCGATGTCAGCCTGGTCTACATAGTGAGTTCCAGGTCAGCTGGGGCTATAGGGAGACCCTGTTTCAAGGAGGAGGCTGGGGGGGGGGGAAGCTTTGTAAACACCTCCAGTGTTACAGAGAAGTTACAAGAAGAGAGTTACATAGACCATTCACCTCCTTCTATTCTTGACATTTTTGTCCATTTGTGTTACCATATGCTGTTATACAAACAAGCACAAGAGAGGAGGGAGAGGGGGAGGGGGAGGGAGAGGGGGAGGAGGAGGAGAAGGAGAGGAGGAGAAGGCTAAACTAGTAGCTAAGATTATTTACATCTTCCCTGAGACCTAGAGCCTATATTCACACAACAAACTAGTATTTCCCTTCCATTCTAGGTCCAGGTATCATGCAACTAGGGAGAGCATCTATGCTCTGGCTAATCCTAACCTTGCCCTCAGAAAAAGGCTATGCGTGCCTTCCTTTCCTTTTCTCCTGTCTCCTCCTGAAGGACACTGGCACTTCCCTTGAGACTGTGTATGGCTTACCTTGTCCTTTGTCTCCAGGGCAAGTGAATAACTTGAAAAAAAAATTTTTTTGGAGACAGGGTCTCCCTGCAGCCCCAGTTGACCTGGAGCTCACTATGTAGACCAGACTGCCTGATTCTGCCTCCCAAGTGCTGGAATTACAGGTGTGCACCACCACACCTGGCTTCAATACATGAGTTGTAGAAGATATGCAGATCATAGTAGTACTATTCTTTTTTTAATGTGTTTGTGAGTGTGTATGAATCTATGCCAGGTGTGGGGAGGTGTTCACAGAGGCCAGAAGAAGGTATTGGACCCCATGGAGCTGGAGTTACAGGCAATTGTGAGCTGCCCAACATGGGTGCTGGGAACTGAACTCAGGTCCTTTGGAAGAGCAACAAGTACTCTTAACCATGGAGCCAGCTGTCCAGACCTCTAGTGTTATTCTTGCATGTGCTCACATTTTCACTTTAGATATGGACAGCAGTCATATAGGGTTAGTGGACTACCCTACTCCAGTATGACCTCATCTTAATAGCATCTACAATAACCTTATTTCCAAGTAAGGGCACATTCTGAGGTTCTGAGGGTTACAGCTTCAACATGTGAATATTTGGAGGACACAACTTACAGATAGTGGTGGAAGATACATGGCAGATGAACATGTGAGCAAACGAGGTGTCAGCAGGAATCCCAAAGCATTCCAGTGCATGCAGAAACCTAATGACCAGAGGAAGAGTAACACTGTCAAAACCAGTGCACACAGATCCAAGGCAGTGGTAACCAGTGGTGCTCACCACAGGAAGGACAGAATGTGTGGCTGTGATGATTGCTGACTGAAGGTTCTGATGGAGAGGGACAGGCTGAAGATGGTGAAACATGAGGTATTCAAAGAACTAAGTCCCTGGGCCAGTGGGTGAGGATGTAGTCCAGAGCCCTAGGTGGAGGGACTCACCCCGGGACAAAAGTAGGTGACATTTTGTTTTGATCATAAACCTATAGCCATACAACTATGACACATGCTGGCAAACCACTGCCCCTCCCCTCACATGGAGCCTCTCCTCTCTAATGGACATGGTCACAGTCACACATGATATTTTCACTGGAAACCACAGTCTCAGCTCAGTGTCACTTGGATCTCACTAACAACTTGGGAAGAGTTTGCCCAGATACCTTAAACATATAATCTGCTAACTCCCCATATAGTCATACTCCTAGATAATCAGCCACACATTGGCCACGCCCTCTGAAGCCCATACTGGCACAGTGGACACCAGTCACACAAAATATCCCCTACTGTGTCACATGTTCATCATACCTACAGTCGCATTTCCCAACCACAATTATATATACTAATGTAACTTACATTCTATTTTGTCACAAACATGAATCTCAGAAAAATCCAGTGGCACCACACCATGATCATAGTTAAACACTTTTAATAAACACCAGCGTCACCATCTGTCTGTCTGTCTCTCTATTGTATCTATTTCTGTCTCTCTCTCACACACACCTGCCTCACCACTGAGTCTCTTTGTATGTCTCTCTTATACATATACACATACACATACTGTGACTCTGCCTAACACACACACACACACACACACACACACACCAGCCTCACCAATGTCTCTATGTCTCTGTCTCGCACATATATGCCTCACCAGTCTCTGTCACACACACAAACCCTCACTAGTCTGTCACACACCCCAGACTGACGAGTCTCTCTGTCTCTGTCTCTCATGCACACACACACAGCCTCATCAGTCTCTCTGTCTCTGTCTCTGTCTGTCTGTCTGTCTCTCTCTCTCTCTCTCTCTCACACACACACACACACACACACACACACACACACATACACGAGCCTCACCAGTTTCTCTTGTCACACACATAGACTCCAGCTTAACCAGTCTGTCACACACACACAGCCCCACCAGTCTCTTGTCACACATACATACACTCCAGTTTCACCAGTCTCTGTCTCCCACACACAGCACCACCAGTCTGTCACACACACATACTCCAGCCTCACAGTCTCCCTCTCTGTCTCTCTCTCACACACACACACACACACACACACACACACACACACACACACACACACGTCTGCCTCTATCTGGGTCTCAGTGGCAAGCGCTGGGGACCCTATTCTCCCGCGGACCCGCAGGGGAGGTGCTCCGCCAGGTCTGGGCGGGGCGGGGCAGTGGCCCTCCCGTGGCGGCTGGCGCTAGCTCGGGACTCTGTCCCAGCCTGGGCGCGGTTGCAGCCGGGAGGGCGACGTGGAACAGCCACGTGGAGCAGCCGGGGGAGGGCCAGCTGCGGGCAGCGGGCGAGGGCTGTGCGGTGCCTGGAGCGCGCACGAACTGAAGCCCAGCCGTTCGTACAGCAGGTGGGTCGACCCGGGCAGGGGTGCAGGGCCGGCCCGGCAGAGCGGGCACTGGGCAACGCGGGGGTGGGGGTGGCGATCTCCTGCCTGTGGTCGGGATACCGAGAGTGCAGTCCTCCGCATCCCCTGCGGCTTGGACCAGTCTGGAAAGGTGACCGTGACCTCTGGGCCCCGCTGGGGAAGAGGTCATCCTCCGGAGCAGGTACACAAATTGTGGAAAACGCCCCTGAGGCCCTTGGGTTTGATGGTCGGTCCTTCAGCATCGGGTGTGTTGCTCCAACAGCCCGGGGTTGCGGGTAGCTAGCCAGTGTTCCACCTCATCTGGTAGATGGAGATGGATTGAAAGGACACCTAACTGTAGGTAGCTGGTCTCCGCCCAGCTCAGGTTGCGCACTTTTGGCTGCATAGCCTCAGCCACTTTCTTGAGGGACTCTCCCGTTCCAGACCTGGGCATTAGGGATAAATCAAGGGAGATGATTAGATTCAGATGACTTCATGGCAGTCAGTCTTGTCTAGAAATAGAATGGATGCCCTATATTAGGTGCCAGCTCCTGTTCCAGAAAGATTCAGGGGAGACAGAATGGGTTAGTTGACAGGGATGCTGTGCAAGAAATGTATGCAAAGGATGGAAAATCATGCACGATAGTCTCCAAAGAACCTTGCCACATCTAGAGACTCTGAAACACTCCAGAAGCATCTGCTTGCCCTACCTTCATCTACCGTTATCTCATTGCCTGGTCCCTAAGTCCCTATGGAACACATACTGTCATCCTCAATTCAAGAATGAAGACGTTAGTGTTCAGAGAGATTAAGACACCTGCCTACACTGCACAGCAGCGCAGAGGCAGGATTGAATCAAAGGTCTAAGGCCAAGGCCAAGCTCTCCTCCTATGTGCTAGTGTAAAGGTTAAAGGATTCTGAAGTGGAGGGTCATTGTGGAAGTGTCTGACTTGAGTAACTTCATTGACTTATACCACAATTGTGAACTAGCGGTTATGATGACTCTCATGTTGTTTATTAGGGTAGTTATGTTTATGCACATTATAATTAGAGGAAATGATTGTGAGCGCTTTTATTTTATAAGCAGTTATTTTATAAGCACTTTTATTTTATTCAATGACTGCTTTATCTTTGTTACTTATAAAAGTTCTTACAAATGCTTAAAAATGTATAAGCATGAACAAATCACATTATATCACCCTATTACACCTCCCTTGAAGTGGTAGCTTGATTCTCTTTAAACGATGGAGGTGGCTTACTTGTACTAAGAATGTAACCCCTGGAAGCATTAAGAGAATATTACACTAATATTCTCATTGCACCATCCATATGCAATGATTTTAATTTCTGAGGTAGAGGACACTGCTAAGGTTATCAGGAGGTCCAGGTTGAAGGTGGAACAGGTTTGGACAAAAGTCCTGAAAAAGTAAGAGAATCTAGTACCCCTTTGAAAAGTGTTGGTGTAATGGAGCACTGAAGGATGAGTAAAAGATAATGTGATACTGGAATGCCCGGGTGAGAACTTTGCACTGCAATAAACATGGGCAGCCATTAAACGTCTTGGAGTTGCTGGGTGTGATAGTGCATACCTCTAATCCTAGCACTTAGATCAGGAGTTAAGGGTCATCCTCAGCTACATAGTGAGTTTGGGGTATTGTTTTTGTTAAAAAAATGTTTTGGAGCAATGGAATTCTATCAAGAGAGACTTATCTGATGTGGGTAGGAAGACAGTACCACAGGCTGGGACAGTGGTAAAAGGCTACTAGATTAGTGAGTGCAAGAAGAAATTTATTAGCCACTTAGTGTTTTCTATAACTCATAGGTAAATATTATTATCTGTAATATGCAAAGTACTTGAAGGTTAATTCATTTTCCCCAGGTCATAGGACAGCTGCCAGTGGGACTGGGGGTTGAAAGTGGGCTGGTTCTCTGCTCTGCTCACTCTACACATGGAATAGTTACATATGTGAAGGACATAGTACAGAGGACAGTGATAGTGAGTCACACAAGAGAGCTCAGAACCAGCTCATAATTCACAGTTCCCATTGTGAAAATGATTGAGACTTTCAAGACAGTGATGGCACACCTGTGTTACTACATAGGTCGCACACCTCTGAAGCTGGTTTTTACACAGTTGGCATTTGGATTATTCTGGTTGCTTAATAAGCCACTCAAAATTTAATGGTTTGGAATAGAAGATGAAGAAGAGACCCTGTGCCCTTCAGAATTCCTCCAGGCCTTGAGAAGAGGATCCATCTGTACTAGGCGCTCCACTAGTGTTTGCAGATGGTCTCAGATTTCCCAGTGCCACACATGCTGCCTGCACACCTAGGATAGAAAGCAGCTCCAGGGCTTGCCTTGCTCCCTGGCAGCCTGGATTACAAGATTAACTCTTCACCTGCAGCTCGGCTGTGGGAATCCTCCTTAGGTTAAAAATCAGTGATTGTTATATGCCTGTAACTTCAGTGCTTGTTAGGCTGAGGCAGGAGGCTACACAGGGAGACCCTGTCTCAAAAAAACAACCAGGTGTGGTGTTGCATGACTGCAATCTCAGTTCTCAGCAGGCTAAAACACATGGATTGCAATGAGTTTAAGGCCAGTCTGAGCTACAGAGAATCCAAAGCCAGTCTGGGCTGCATAGCAAAACCTTGTTTCATAAAAACAAAACAAAGAAAACAACAACAATAACCCACTTAGTAGCTTCAAATGATTTAACCCTGACTTTGATCATGGGTGCAGTCTGGGCAGGTGTCTGGGCAGCTGGAAAGCTCAGGCCTGGAAACAGAAGATTCAATTTCTCACTTGTCTGGCAGTGGGGGAAGGGGGATATAGCTAGGCTCCCAGGGTATCCCTATTCCTATGTCATCTTTAAATTTTTAAATTAAAAAAAATTTATTTTGTGTGTATGAGTGTTTTGCCTGCATGTGTGTAAGTACACTGTGTGGATTCAGTACCTGAGAAGGCCAGAAGAGGATGCCAGATCCCATAGAACTGGAGTTACTGATGGTTGTTAGCTGCCCTGTGGGTGCTAGGAATCAAACCTAAGTTCTCTTCAGGAGCAGCCAGTGCTATTAACTGCTAAGCCATCTCTCCAGCCCCTAGAGTTGCTTTTCAGAAAGGGATATTCAGAGACTGGAGAAATGACTACTCTTGCAGAGGACCCAGATTCAGTTCCCAGTACTCATATGGTGGCTAACAACTAACTGTCTGTAACTCCAGTTCCAGGGGATTTGATGCCCTCTTCTAACCTCTTTGGGCATTGCATGACATGGGTGCATTTACATACATGTAGGCAATACACTCATACACATAAAATAAAAAATTTAAAAAAAATTTAAAGCAATGCCAGTGGATGACAACAGATTCAGTCTAGATAATAAGTTTTGACAGCTCTGAGGGATTTAAATCACTCCAGAGTCTCCTTTAGCATAGGTCCTGGCAGTGGACAGATGAGAAGAGAAAGTGATTTGAAGGAACCAGGTGGGAGAGCCAGGAGGGAAGATATATGTGAAGCCTCTTGCAGAGTAGTCAGGAAAACACTTGGAAGGAAAAGGCCTGTTTGTGTAAAAAGTGCTGTCCCTTAATAGGACTTGTCTCACTTAGCCACCACCATGGCCCTGGAGCTCTGCCAGCCCACATTGAGGATGACTACCTGAGACAAAGAAAGCACACAACCAGTGTACTGCAGAGCCCATATTGGGGCCAAGGCAGCCTGATGTTAGGGCCTTTACCCTTGAACTTTGGATTAGAACCCCCTTTCCTATCAATTTTGTGATCTGTTTCCTTTACTCTATCCCTCCCTTCCTTTCTGATAGGATCTCATTATATTGCCCAATTTGACATTGAACTTGAGATTGTCCTACCTCAGCCTCCTGAGTAGCTGGGGTTATAGATCTGTGCCACTTCATCTGGATTCTGTTTCTCTGTTAACTGTTTAAGCATGTATCTTTTCCTAATTATATAATTCTATAGGTCTTAAGGAAGAAAAGAAGTAATTCTACCTTATACCTTTAGCTTACTGATAAGCTAAAGAAATAGTAAAGAATGAGGCTGGAGAGATAGCTCAGAAGTTAAGAGCACTGACTGCTCCCAGAGAGGACCCAGGTTCAATTTCCAGCACTCACATGATGGCTACTCCAGTTCCAGGAGAGCTGATGCCCTTTTCTGGCCTCTTCAGGCAAAACACTTATACACATAAAATTTAAAATAAATAAATCAAAATCTAAAACCAAAAAAGAGTAAGCACTTTTCCCAGCATTAAAAAAGGAAGGAAGAAAGAGAGAGAGAAAGAAAGAAAGAAAGAAAGGAAGGAAGGAAGGAAGGAAGGAAGGAAGGAAGGAAAGAAGGAAGGAAGGAAGGAAGGAAGCAAAAATCCAGACCTGGTGGTGCGCACCTTTAATCCCAGCACTTTGGAAGGCAGAGGCAGGTGAATCTCTGTGAGACTGAAGCCAGCTTGGTTTATGTAACAAGTTCCAGGTCAGCTGGGACTACAAGAAGACCCAAACAAACAAACATAAATAGCAAAGAAATGGTCTGGCATGTACTTCAGCGGTAGAGCACTTGACTCTTATGTGTAAAGGCTTGCATTTGACCCCCAGCACTGAAAAACAAAAAACTGAACATCCAACTATCATGACAAACACCTGTATTCTAGTACTTATGAGGCAGAGGTAGGGGACTAGAGGCCTACATGAGCTACAGAGCAAAACCTCTCAAAAAGGAATAATGTGTGTTTCTGTTTTGAAAATATGCATTTGCCTTCCCTACAGATACTTACTCTTCGGGTTTGCGTCATTTGATATCTGTTGCTGTTTCCCATGTATGTTAGTCAGCTTTCCATTACTGTAACGAACACCCAAGGCAATCAACTTTAAAAGAGAAAAACATTTACTTTGACTCCTGTTGTGGGGGTTTCTGTCCAAGTTCGGTTGACCTGATTGCTTTTGCTCCTGTGGTGAGTTAGCTGGGGATTAGGGGAGATAGAGCTGCTTACTTCATGACTA